TTTCTTGGCCACCTGTTCTCCGGCATACGTAGAACATGTCCAAACCACTTTAAGCTGGATTTTTCAATTCGATCTAGCACTGTCTCCTCCGATGCATTCATGATACGTCTGACCTCGATGTTTGTCTTTTTTTCCATCCTAGATATACCTGCGCTCCTTCTAAAATAGTCCATTTCAACAACTTGGATTTTGCGCTTCGTATCTGCACTCAAAGTCCATAGCTCTGAACCATAGCAGAGAACTGACTCCACCAATATTTGTCCAAGTCTCTTTTAAGTTGTTGCAGACAAGTTTCGGTCCCACCAGAGGCTATTAAGACAACCAAAAACTTGTTTGCTCTTCTGAATTCGGATTTGTATTTCTTCTTTGCCCAAACCTTCGTTGTTGATAGTAGCACCCAGGTATTTAAATTTGTCTACTTGTTGAATCTGGACGTTATCATCTATGAAGACTTCAAAACAAGCGTTGGAATTGACATCTAAGTATTCTGTCTTTTTTAGACTAACCTGAAGTCCCCATTTGTTATATTCTTGGTAAAGCCTCTTAGTCATGAACTCCAGATCGAAAGAGTCCTGCGCAATCACGACCTGATCGTCTGCAAAGCTCAGAGTAAACAGTGTATCTTCCCCAATGGGTATTTCCATGCCTTGGCATCTCCTCTTCCATTCCCTAAGGGCTATAAGCTGCATCCTTGTCGCAACCCTTTTGTGGTATTTATTGGATTGGATAGCCTGTGTCCTATCTTAAGGTACGCTTTATTTTCTTTGTAGAGCTCTTTTATTATCTTAAGTAGGGGTCTATCTACTTCTAAAATATTCAAAGCTTCCCATATTTTGTTGCGAGGAATAGAGTCGTAAGCTTTCTCCAAATCAATAAACGCTAGATGGACTTCTTGATCTACTGCTATCTTTTTTTCCTTATCACCTGCTGTAGGACAAAGAGGTTATCTGTGCAAGTTTCCCCCGGTGTGTCACCAATATTTTGTCACCAATATTATCCCTGAGCTTACCCTGCAGAACTTTTCCAAAAAGCCTGCTCACTGAACTGTTAATGCTCAGGCCTCTATAACAACCGGGGTCGTTGCGATTTCCCTTTTTAAAGATAGACACTATATGAGCCACTCTCCATTCTTGGGATAGTTTATTTTGCAGACAGCACTGGTTGAACAGCTCTGCCAGGCGCCAGCACAATTTCTCAGTCCCACACTTTAACAATTCTACTGCAATGTTACCAGGACCTGGTGACCGTCCATTTTTCATTTTTTTGAGACTTAGATGTATTTCTCTTTCGCTGATCGTAAAAGTGCCCGCAAGGTTGTCTTCCTCTTCTGCAGATTGGAATTCTGGTCGTTTTGTGTAACTAATTGTGGTTTATTTAAAGTTATATATGTATTTGAATTTCATTGATATTATTTCAAGTTCTTTGCATGAAAATACCGTACCAACATTCTTTAGTCAATCAAAAGATTGATTTTTGTTCCGTTACAATGGCAACTAAATATACTAATAACACGGATTCGGAAAACGAATTTATGCCTTTAGCAATCTAGAAAGCCTGTTGAAGTCTAGAGTCTGCCTTTAGCAGTCTAGAAAGTTTTTTATAGGCAGACATGTAATGATCCTCAGACTTTTGTGGTAGCAATCCAAGACTTGTTAATTTGGCCGCCTCTGCTATCTCTGGTGGTGTACAGGGCTCATTATCACTTAATAATCACTACTAATTATATGCCACTTAATAATCACTACCTACTTAACATTTGACAATTTTAAACGTCAAAATTAATAAAAAAAAAGATAAAAAAAACGTCAAATCATCCACGCCAAGCATCGGGATGTTGTGAGTGTCACGTTGGTATAGCAACAAATGTAAAGTAAATGCAATGTGTGATTTATCAAAATTCACTGTTATCAGCTGTTATATTTCACTCTATTACAAATATGGGCACCATATTCCTTCAGATAGGAAGTAGAATATTGATTTATTATTAAGTGGTCGTGGACAAAATAAATATTTTTATTATCTTTCACGTTTCTAAATTCCCTCGTAACCTAATCTAATTTTATGTCTTAACGAAACCAGCACCGACCAAACTTTCCAATATAACCCGCGAATTAACTCTAAAAATTTTTACTACCCCTTTTTATGATCCAGTTCTTCGCCTTCCAATCGAATGGCAGAAAATTCCAGACCTATATTTCTAGAAGAAAACCCCAGTAATGTTTTCTGTGTTTTATAAAGTTTTCCGGCCACAGAACGGAGAACAGTTGGTGGTTATTCGGTTTGGTCTGCCGAAAGTGTAGTTGGGAACGGTGGAATTTTTACACTTTTGCTGTGGCCGTTTCTTTTTACGATGTCTTTTGTGGGTATGCGTTTCCGGGTAAAGTTTTATTTACTTTTTATTTTTTTCTTTCAGAATGTGGGGAAATATCTGTAAAAAGTATTGGCATAGTATTTATATTGCAAGTATATTATTTGTAGTGTTTATTGTCATCATCATAATCATCATTTTCAGCTTACTCAACCATTTATAATTATGGTGTAGTCTCCCTCACATATTCTCTTTGTAGTTGGACCCATTGTTATGTATCGTTGGCTATGCGGCCCCAAGTTACCCCTGCTAATTTCCTAATATCATGGTCCCATCTCAGATTCGGTCTTCCTCTAGGTCTCTTAATTTCTCGTGGGTACCATGCTGTAGTTTTTGTGGTCCATCTGTTGTCTATTCTTTTTGCCAGGTGTCCTCTCCATTACCATTTGAGGGATTTGATATCTATTTTCTGGGTCTTTTGTCGTATCTTTACTCTTTTACAGTCTCTCTTGGTAATTCCCAGCATATTTCGTTCCATAGAGCATATTTCGTCCCCATATAATTTATTTGGTTAATAAATAAGCGAAATGAATACCACTATTTCTAATAGCGTTTTTTTAATTGCGTGTTTTAGTGTGCTTCAGAAACACCTTAAAAATTTGTATGATATCATAGATCTTAAGACTGTTTGAAAGTAATGGAACTACTGAATGAATCAGAAAAAGTATTTAATCAGATAACTAGTAATATTAACTAGATATGTTGACTATAACTTACTAGATCTGTTGACTAGGACCAAAAGTAAAGGCATGGTCTTAATTTAGAAATTACGAAAAAATGTTAGTGCCTCCTTCAAAAGAGAATATCCCCAACAAAAATGAAGCTATGAGATGAACCAAAAAACAAACTATCGAGAAAGGATGTATCTAGATGATAAAATTATTTTTAAATTTATTGCTGTTTTAACATATTCCACAGGGGTGTTTCAAACTTTCACTAAAATATCAACATTTTGTTTTCCCTCGTATAATTAACAAATGGAAAAATTCATTTTTAATTTAGAAAGAGATACTAAAAAGTTAGATAATTAAGATACATAATGCTTAAAAATTCATCAAAATCGGTTAACTAGAACAAAATATATTAAATTTTAAAATATATAAAAGTTCTAAGGTGCCCATTTTTCGTGCCGGTTAATGTATTTCCGAGTGTATTTCAAAAACTATACATTTTAGTCATATACTTTTCTAGTAAAACTCGCCTATATTTTTTTATTAGAATCCGAAAATTAATTAATATATAGGGTGTTCCATTACAAAAAAAAACAATTTTGATGTGTAACATTTTTGGAGGACACCCTGTATAACTCTATATAATTTTAGAAACTGCTTTAAATTGACTTACATAAGCTCACAAAATTTAACTTCAATACAGACTTATTTTTCTTGCAAAAAATGCGTCGTATGTGCCGCGCCACCCTGTATAATTCAATTTCAATCAAAATTTCAATGATTAGAATATAAGCAGAACAGGTATAGCTTATGCATTAGATTCATTTATTTCAATAAATTTACTTAGAAAAAAAAATAAAAAAATAAGAAGGAAATAACTAAGAATTTACTAAAATTACTAATATAAAAAATTAAAAGCAACGAAAAAAAAATGAGTAAACATTTTAGTATTTTATCTATAAAACACAATACAGAAGGTTTCACATTAATATATTCACAGTAATTGAATTGAGAAGTAAAAGTCTCTGGGCACTCCAGTAACACTAAAACGCATAAAACTTGGTATTCATTTCACTTATTCTTACTTTATCTATAGTATTCTGATTACTATTAAGAACGTTCTAACAAAATAAACCAAATAACAATTAGACATTGCAATAAACAGTAAAAATAAACGTCTCTAGTTTAGCTGACAATTCAAAATCATGAAATTAAGACAACAAACGGCAACAACTTCAATAGTTGGGTATGCGAGTTGACTAGTGGGACGTAGACGCTAGTACTTAGCCAACGATACCCTGTATCCCTATACACATTTCTTAAGAGAGAAAGAAAAAATATACCACTAAACTATTCTTACTAAAAAAAAACGTCGTAAAAGAAACACACCCCGCAAGACCATAAAAATTTCACTCTTCCAAACTGCACTTTGGAAACCCGAACTGAATATCGGCCATCTGCTTGCCGTCGCGCCGGGAAAACTTTATAAAACCGAGGAAGTATTATAAGTTTTTCTTCGCTAAAAGCACTGTTCTCGAATTGAGTCGCCTCCAGTTGTAATTTACTACCCTCCGATACGGCGGCGTAGAGAACTAGGCAATAAAAAGGGGTAGTAAAAATTGTCAAAGTTAATTCGATGGTTATTGGAAAGAGTGGTACAGTATGAAAAACGGATCTGAAATAAAGGAGCAACGGTAAGGAGAACGAAGTTTTTTTAAAAACATGACCGATTTTATTCATATAATATCCAGAGGTGTGCTGTGATTTATGATTTTTTTCATCATCATTACCATCATTTTCAGCTTATTCAACTATTTCCAATTATGGTGTAGCCTCCCTCACATATTCTCTATAGTAGTTCAGCTTATTGTTGTCTATCGTTGGCTATGTGGGCCCAAGTTATCCCTGCTAATCCAAGATAGCACAAAAGGAACATTTACATTCTAAGAATATTCCTCTTAAGTTCTTATAAGTATATTCTTTTTTTAATAAGTATGGCATATGAATAGTACATTCTACTAGGAATGTGATTTAAAGGTATGTTATCAGCATGACCTTAGAATGTCTTCTTAAATTATGGTTTACAATAAATTTTAAGTATCTGCTATTCACGTTCTAAACATATCAATATCTGAATAAAAATACAGGAGAATAAAAATGATTTCGAAATGAAAAAATGAATACAATACATTATATTTGTATATTTTCTTACTATCAGTTACTATTAAGTTTTTGTGTATTAAATAATTAGGGATTTTATATATTAGTGTATATAGATGCCCTGTAAACAAATATTCAAGCAAAAATACAGTGTTTCTTATTCTAACAAATAAATAAACCTGTAAAACTGTATAAATAAAAACGATCTTCCATTATGAAATAAAAAGATCGATTATACCAAAAGATAATTTGATAAAACTCGATAGATTTTAATCGATTTTTTGGGTAAAAAGATCGATCTTCGACTGAAATCGATTCGAATCGTACATCCATAACATAACCTAATAAAAAAACCAGTGAACTATAAACGTAAACGTGCTTCATCCAAACTATTTTAATAATTAAAACACTGAGATAACGTAAAGATAAGTGATGCAAATAATTATTTTAAGGATAGAATCGGTAAAATAGTTCTTGTTATGTTTGTGTTTTCAGTATCTATTTTAAGGTGAGTGAATTTAAAACCATGAGACCTCGAAAAAAAATAGGTTATACTAAAAAATATTTTAAAATTCAACCAAAATAAAAGGAGCCAAAATCTTATTAAGTCAATGTTACGCAAATATGACTTCAATATTGTACATTAAACTGGATTCAGACCAAAGTGATTTTTTATTATCCTCTGTACATCATCAAAGTAGTAGTATCTCTGGTAGTATCATTGAAGATTTCTGTTCTGATAAGTGTAGTTCCAGTGCTGAAATTTCTTACAATATAGTATTTATATAGGTATTTATGTAGGCTCTTCTATAATCATTTTTGTGTGTATTTTTAAGAGAAAGGTATTTTTTAGAATTATTAGGTTCGAGAATTATCTAGACTTGGTGGTTCAGGAGTAGCACAAAGTACAAGGAAAATGCTTTATAAGGTTCTGGGCAATGAAATTGCACAAAAATATTCTTGGGATGGGGCCAAACAGAAGAGAAGTTTGAAATCATTGTTAGTGGCCAAAAGCAATTTTAGGTATTTGAACTTAAAGATATTTGGTGTTGCAAAGACTGTAATAACATATATTTTAGACTCCATGAAAGGTCAATTTCAAGAGTCAAAAGAAACCGAAATTATCAATATAATTAAAATATGGCTTGTAAAAACAAAAGAAAGATTAATAATCCAAGGTAAGTTGTGCAAATTTATTTGAACAGTATAATTCTGCTGATATTATTTCAGAAGGGTAGACAAGAGAATATAGAAACATAGACATAGAAGATAATATCAATGTATATCGTTATATTAAAATATTTTTAATTAATAAACATATATTACTCAAGTTCGTCTTTATCCTTACCTATTATTTTTAACCGTTCTATTTATTAGTTAATTTTTGATTATTACACACCAAATTATTTAATTTCAGCAAATTGTTTGTAGTGTGTTCCAGATATGAATGTACTGTATAGGTATCCTATAGATTTTAAGAGATAAAAAAATTGCTAAATATGAAAAAAATTGTATCTATATCTATAGTTTATAGGATATTGATACAGGGCATCCTTATACAGGACACCCAGTAGATACAGAGTTGAGGGTTGGAATCTTTGGTGTTACAACAGCAAATTAAAACACTAATTCACCACAATATACCAAAACACTTTACTTTTGAACTGGACGCTTGTTTGGTTAATCATCTTAGCGTCATCAGCAGATGATTAAAACTTAAATTTTGACCATCTGCTGATGATGCTAACATGGTTAGCGAAACGCGCGTCCTGTGCAAAAGTAAAGTGTTTTGGTGTATTGTGGTAAATTAGTGTTTTATTTTGCCTCTGTAGATAATAAAAAAATATGAAAAACATATGAAAAGCATAAATATAGAATATTAAAAACATGAATATCATATAATTGGAATATTATTTTTAAATACATTCTTTACGAACATATAATTCACGTTCATAGAATATATCTTGGAATGTGAAACGCACTTCTATATCACTTGAATAGGGTGGAACGTAATCTCTGCTATTCATGTGCCATATATGTTCCCAATGAAAAAAAGGAATGTGAATAGAACATTGTTGTTCTCCAAAGTCACTTGCTTCGCATATGAAAAGAACGTAAATGTGCTATCTGGGAATATCATCGTCCCATCTCAGGTTTGGTCTTCTTCTGGGTCTCTTAGTTCCTCATGGGTACCATTCTGTAATTTTTGTGGTCCATCTGTTGTCTGTTCTTCTTGCCAGATGTCCTGCCCATTGTCATTTGAGGAATTTGACTCTGTGGATGACATTTATTACCTGAGTCTTTTGTTGTGTCCACTCTATTCTTTTACGGTCTCTCTTGGTTATTCCCAGCATGTTTCGTTCCATTGAGCGTTGTGAGACCTGCAGTTTTCTTATGATGTCCGTTTTAAGTGTTAAGGTTTCGCATGCATAGGTTATGACTGGTAGTACACGTTGGTCGAATGTTTTCTTCTTTAGATATAGGGGCATTCTAAATTTGAATATGATTGAGTTTCTTCCATAAGTACTCCATGCTAACTTAACTCTTCTGTTGATTTCTGGTAGTAGATATCCCGAGCTGTTCCTATAACCATGGGTCTGGAAATGCATAGTTTTAGAGTTACAGGATGTTAAACCTTTTTAAAATTAGGACTTTTGTAATTATCTTAACACAATTTTTTTTAACGGCCTACAGAATTTTGATGTTGGTTTCATTTGAATCCCTAAAAGTACTTGGAAGAAAATTATAACAAATAAGAAAAAATGAAGACTTTCAAACCTTGTAGCTTCGAAACAAAGCAGAATCAGACAGACCTATGTTGATATGAAAAATAAATGTTATTTTTAGGTGAGGACTCTCCCCACGAGACACGGCACATGTTTTTTTTGAAAATCCCTGTATAATCAGATTAAGGATATGTTTTAATTATGCGGTAATATAATCCATTTTTTTGTAGCTTACATTTATAAATATTTTAATTAATTTATTTATACATCGTTAAAAATAATTATATTTTACCGAACTAATCCGAGTACTTAATTTCGCAAATTCATATATAAATAATTAATTTTTATTATAGTCAGAGATTTACTGAATAACAAAACGTTGATAATTAATCCACAACTTTCATGAATAATTAATTTGGACATATTGAAATATGCCTAAAACACATTTTTTGCCAATTATACAGTTTAATAGCTAATTAATTATTTTTTATAATTCAATTAGCAAATTTTTAACAACACGTTTTATATAATCATATAATATTACTATATAGTTATGTATAATTTTTTAATACTCTATTTTTCTTTTTCAGGTAAGACACCAAAGAAATTATAAGGATAACAAAAATCAAAATACGTATACAAGTAAGAAAGGTTAAGGTTTTACCAATTATACGGGGTGCGTCTCGAAAGTGGCTCACTCCTATAACTTTTTTGTTTTTTCAGATAAAAAATCAAGATTTGGTATATTACTATATGACATAAATTAGGATTAATTGACGTATTCAATTATTTTTGGTCACTTCTGTTTTATCGGAAATGACTACAACTTTTAAACCAATTTTTAAATGGCACCCTCGGCATATTTCTACTTTATTCGATAGAAAATGGCACTCTGAGAAGAATAACATATCATATGTCAACTTTTGACATTTTTGTTTAAAAAACTGGTATTTTAAATTTAAATCTAGAGTGCCATGGCTGTGTTATAAACACTAATTTTTTATCAAGGAGCCGTGGAAAAATGGATTTGATCGTCTAATGTTTTTCGTGTTTTGTCCTGGCTGGTTTAGGATAACAAAAATCAAAATACGTATACAAGTAAGTAAGGTTAAGGTTTTACCAATTATACGGGGTGCGTCTCGAAAGTGGCTCACTCCTATAACTTTTTTGTTTTTTCAGATAAAAAATCAAGATTTGGTATATTACTATATGACATAAATTAGGATTAATTGACGTATTCAATTATTTTTGGTCACTTCTGTTTTATCGGAAATGACTACAACTTTTAAACCAATTTTTAAATGGCACCCTCGGTATATTTCTACTTTATTCGATAGAAAATGGCACTCTGAGAAGAATAACATATCATATGTCAACTTTTGACATTTTTGTTTAAAAAACTGGTATTTTAAATTTAAATCTAGAGTGCCATGGCTGCGTTATAAACACTAATTTTTTTATCAAGGAGCCGTGGAAAAATGGATTTGATCGTCTAATGTTTTTCGTGTTTTGCCCTGGCTGGTTTAGGATAACAAAAATCAAAATACGTATACAAGTAAGTAAGGTTAAGGTTTTACCAATTATACGGGGTGCGTCTCGAAAGTGGCTCACTCCTATAACTTTTTTGTTTTTTCAGATAAAAAATCAAGATTTGGTATATTACTATATGACATAAATTAGGATTAATTGACGTATTCAATTATTTTTGGTCACTTCTGTTTTATCGGAAATGACTACAACTTTTAAACCAATTTTTAAATGGCACCCTCGGTATATTTCTACTTTATTCGATGGAAAATGGCACTCTGAGAAGAATAACATATCATATGTCAACTTTTGACATTTTTGTTTAAAAAACTGGTATTTTAAATTTAAATCTAGAGTACCATGGCTGTGTTATAAACACTAATTTTTTATCAAGGAGCCGTGGAAAAATGGATTTGATCGTCTAATGTTTTTCGTGTTTTATCTTGGCTGGTTTAAAAATGCCCAACTCATATTTTTAATCTTATCTCAATTTTTTCAAATGGAACAAGGGTGGCTCATTAGCATATTTGGAACAAGCATTTTTTTACGAATAATTTGGTACCACAAACTTGGTATTTCGAGTCAAATTGTCGCTATGAACTGCAAAAATATACCAAGGGTGCCATTTAAAAATCAAAAGTTGTTATTTCCAGTGAAACAGGAAGTGGCAAAAAATAACTGAATACGTCAATCAATCCTAATTTATGTCATATACTAACATACCCTAATCTCGCTTTTTCATCTGAAAAAATAAAAAAGTTATAGGGAGTGTGTCACTTTTGAGACGCACCCGGTATACTAAAGTACCAAATCTCCTTTCTTTTATCTGAATAAATACAAGTATTATAGGGCTGAGCCACTTTTTAAAAACGCCCGGTATACATGCAACAATAACTCCCTTACAATGAAAAATAATCTATTATTTTTTCAATCCTTCGCCCAGCGGGAGGTTTTCGAATTACAAGCTTCGGGTTTCTTTGTAGGTAATAATTGAAAAACCCTCAAATGGACGAGAGGAAAACTCACCTGTTCTTTTTATTCTATTTTCACTTTATTTTCTTCGTCTATCTAACAATAGATTAGGAAACTTTGTAATAACTGGTCTTTGGAGAAATAAGACAGTTATTAAAGGGAAGACATACAAATGATTTATCAAAAAAATTCCTTAAAAATATAAATAAAAAGATTTTTTAGATTTTTAAAATTTTTAATAGTTAATATTTTTTAAAAGAAACTACAGTGCTCTCTGTTATGACAATCAATGATAACTTCTGTAGAGGCCTGCCCCCTACAGGTATGTAATTTATTACAACTGACTTACATACATACATACTGCCAGTACTCGCTAACGAGTATTTGACACGCATCAGAAGATGGTCACGCAAGGTTTTCTTTCATAAGCTTTTCTGTGACTGAAAAGTCCGATACGTGATGTTATCTGCCTACCGCAATCCGGACATTCAAAAATATCATTGCTTTGTGGTCTTTTTACTTTTTGGTTGTCGCTGTTAACTGAGTTTACAATTCTTCTCCATTGAGTTCTATATGAGCTGTTTCTTCCCACTCATTCTGCATATTAATCCCCTTTAAGTTTTCGTGGAAAATGTCTTTGTACCTTTTGAGTTGTCCACCCGGCCTCCTCTTACCGTTCACAAGCTCACCGTAAAGCAGAGATTTTGGTATGCGGTTTTCCTGCATTCTGCATACGTGACCAGCCCATCTTAGGCGGGATTTTGTAACCATGACTCCAATACTCTCGCAGTTAGCTTTTTCAAGGACCGATACGTTTGAGACATGATGGAACCATCGGATTCTTAAGAGTTGTCTAAGGTGTCTCTGTTGCAACTTGTTTAATGCCTTCATGTGTAGGCGGTAAGACATCGGCACCCAGGTTTCGCTCCCATATAACATGGTGGGGATTATAATTGCTCCATACACTGCAAGTTTCGTCTTTGTACTCAAGTCATGATTGTAGAAAATCCTGTCTTTTAATTTAAAGAATGCTCTTGAGGCGCTGCTAATCCTGTGCTGAATTTCAGAGTCGATATTGGCCATTTCCGAAGTCGAACTGCCGAGGTAACTGAATTCACACTGCGGGGACCTAGTGATTTTCCCACTGCGGGTACCTAGTGATTTACCCAGTTTGGAGACCTAGTGATTTTCCCACTGCGGGGTCCTGGTGATTTTTCCACGGCACACAATTGTCATTTTTTGAAATCTAGGTGGATAAAAATCCGGTTTCCTTAGGTGTACTAATTTACATTTGTTTATGCACAAACAGAAATGCTATATCAGTTGATGTTTGAGAAAAAAAATATTGTATCGAGCAATTTAAAACAGGTATGGACTGCTTTGCAAATCCGAGCAGTAATAAAGTGAATTTTATTGACTTGTGTTAACTAGTTCAAAAGA